TTTTTTAAGAGTGAAATATATATTTGTAATGTGTTGCGAGCATTCCTCAAACAGCATCTGATTCTTTGCATTTGATTCAAAATTTGAAAACTATGCCCTCTTTAATCAGCTATAAATGGTTTGGACTATTAGACTTAGACAACCTTTTATTGTCATTTTGTATACACAGAGTGAACACAAAACACATTTTCTCTAGTATAGCTTTCTGTCAGTAAATGGACATTTGCATTCCATAAAGTGCAGCAGTGATCAGATGTAAACAATCCCAATTAGAGATGTAATGATTAGCTGACAAATGTTGGGTTTTATACAAAAAAAGTTTGTTTGGTCTAGTTCAAACTCGCTAAAAGAGTCAAATGGCAAAATATTAGTCAATATTTGCAACAGATCTTGACAAGGAAAATAGTGGACCAGTTTTTTTTTGTTTTACTTGTTTTTTTTGGATGGTATTCATTCATTTAGATGGGGGCAGAAATTGTGAAAGAATACACATGCATGTCCATCTTTTTTATGCAAATAGGTGATGAATTGTTAAAAACCAAAACAGAGTCCACCCACATATAATGGAGCCCGGATTGCTGCATAATACACTGCAATTCGGACCGCAGAATGTTCTGCTCAGTCCTACAGATTTTACAATTGATGCCGTACAGGAAGTTGTGATTGTTTCAAGAGTTGTATTAGACGACTTGCTTAAAATTATGCTTTTGCTGTCATACAATTTTGCGGTGGTCTTGTAGTTAACTGTCAAATAGTAAACAGCTATGCAGGATAACCAGTCCAGGGCTGTAAATATGGCATGTACGCATTCAGTTAGCAACCTGGTTGGTGGCTGCAGTGACCCTCAGTGCCTGTCGTGTCACTTGTGAATCTTGTTTCCTCATCCAGCCTCTAGTTCCTTTAACTGCTAGGTTGTGAATAAATGCATAAAACAGATTGATCATTGAACTTGGGAGTGAAACAGGATGTAAATGACTCAGATATAACACTACAATGTGGCTGTGATGTAAACCTAGACAATCAGAGTTGTTTTAATATCTGGAGATTAGCTATTATGAGTCCATTTGGGGAAGACAGACATGGCAAGTCATAGGAAAATCTGTAAGATAAATGATGAAGCATAGTTTGAGACCTTCCAACTCGAACATATCAGCCACGTGTGAGACGGCACGGTTTAAAGAGAGAGGAGTCAACTCTAGTATGAGTTATAGCAGCAACTAGGACTTTACTCTGAGTGTTAGTGATGTCACAGCTTGGCTTGGCTACCTGAGAACAGTAGTCTGATTGTTTATGTTCTCAGCAGGCTGCATATTTTTCTCATCCTCAATAAAATGCCATTAAATGTTCCGCTGGGTTAAATAGTCACTGTTTAAACTGCAGATTTCAGGTTGTGTTCTTCAGTAACACACGTAAGAGTTCACTGTGTTTGTTCTAAGAATCATTTACTCTTAACTCCTAAGCTCTTGGTCATTATTAGTGTGTTTTCTTCGTTAAATGAAGCACAACCTCAGTAATTTTACTCTTCAGTTCCAAATCCTCTGTTTATATGCGGCACCCTAAGGTTATGCCAACTGGTTTATGGTCTTTTCCGCTACCCTGTGAGATTCGTAATGAGTTTTATGTTTTCCTGCCTTCCATGTTTGGTTGCTCCCATAGCCTTGGGTTGTGATAACATAGGTTACATTGTGAAGATGTTGCGTTCCAATGTTCAAATGCATATTTTGTGGTCATTATACTTCATGTCAAAGTCATTGGTACATATCAGCTTGTATGTTGTTTTTTTGCCTAAATGAACGATCTATTAAATCTTAATATAATCATGTAAATAACAGCAAGAGTAAATTCATTTCACAAACATTTTCAAGTCATTTCTGATTAATTAAGACATTTTAAGAAAAGTCACTGTTGGATTGCTCAGCAGTGGATGTTCTGTCTGCCAGCAGAAGCTTTGAACTGTCCACTCATTACTTCATATTCCCGTTTTTGGCCATACCTGAAGTCAATATACAATTTTGTACCCTTTCATTTGACTTGACAGAAAAATAGTTTCCTTTATGCAAAGCTATGTATCACTGTCATGACGGTGCTACCCATTTCTTGACATTGTCATATCCCGTCACTTGTGACGATTAAACGTCCTCTTTAGAAAAGCTGAACAAGCTTTTCGCATTGAAAAAAAAACAATACCACAGCTTCGACATAAGCTATAAGAACAGTTGCCTTCAAACTCAAACCACTTGTAAAATAAGCAGAGGTGTCAAGTAATGAAGTACAAATACTTTGTTACTGTACTTCAGTACACTTTTTTAGGTATCTATACTTTACTCCATACTCCTACTTCTAACTTCTATTCATTACATTGGCTTTGGTTTAATGTTTATAAATATATATTTCATGTCATGTGCTAACCTGACTCCGCCAGATGGATTTGCTCCGCATATCCATCTGGGAACCTTCCGTGGAAATCATTTTGGGAAGGGGCGAAAATACTGGTTAGCTGATTGGCCTATGTTGGTGATAGACGGGCCAAATAAACCAATCATATCAACGACGCATATGACGTAACAGAGCGACGACGAAGAGACAATTGATAGATCAAACTCCTGCTGAAACCAGTCGGGAGAAGAGCTAAAACATCTTTTCCTCTGAGAAAAGCCTCCAGAGCAGTGTTTTGCTCTTCTTTCAGTGAAGAAATACTCTGTAATTCCGATAAAACTTGCTCGATAGCCACGCTAACGCTAGTTTCATACGCTGAAGCCGCCATGTTCTTTAGACTGAACTGTCGCGCTTCTCGTTGCGTCACACCTCAACCCGCCTCAAAGCCAACGCTGATTGGATGTTTGTTTGGTGAACGGCTCCAAATTATCTTTAACGGAGAGTCTCCAGACTGATTAGCGCGTGAAATCTTGAAAGCTCGCGAGATCAGGATGGTCTCACGAGGCCAGTCATGTGCGCCATCCAATGCAGATCATTGGCTCCATCCACATCTAGTGAAAACTAGTGTAATTGGATGAGTCATAGAACGCAAACACTCATCGGTTAGCCAAAGGAAATTATTAGAAGCAAGCAGGTGTTCTTCAAACTGCAAACGCAAATTGTCTATGCCATGCTACAATGTCGGATTCATAAAAAGATGTCTGAAAGGTAGGACACGGGCGAGAGGCGTGTGTTTTTAAAGTGTTTCGAAACTACAGGATCTATACTTCTACTTAAGAAACAAATGTGTGTACTTTTGACATCACTGAAAACAAGTGTATTTCCCTTTCATTTGAGTAGATAAATAAGATAAATTTCCAATGGGATTTTTGTACCTGTATTTAGTATTATGCACTTAAAAATAAGATAACATAGTTGTTTTCTTCGTATTTTACTCTTAAAACATATTTTCCCATTGGCAAACTATCTTGCTTGCCTGCTAAAATCAAAGGAAAGTACACCTACCTCAAAAAAAAAAATCTGATTATCTATAGTTATGCTTTTGCAGTGGCACTCTGCTTCTAAGAGAGTCACTTCGTGTCAAATTTGAGCCAAAATAACCACGTCCTGCCTCGATTCATTGCAGATCAGAGAAAAGTGTGCTGTTTTTTTGACTGATAGACGTAGAGCGGTAAAGGTAGCTGCATCCGGTAGAGGAGGTGGGACAGGAAGAAAATCCTCCTTAGAGACCAGAAGTCAGAAGGATAAGTCAGATGTGCAAAGCTACAGGGAAATACCACTTTGTGCATAACTCTAATAAGGGAATAGTATTATAACATAGATTAAAAAATGGATCAAAAAGTTAATTTTAACTGATATAGACACTTCAAAACAACTAAACTGAGGGTGGTCATCAAGGTTAAATAAATCTCTAAATGTCAAAGAACTTTTTTCAGTGTAAGATATTTAGTTACTTGTCAGCTTTGGAAGGTAATGTAAATATATATTGATGATTTGCCTATTTAGTCCTGGCTCTTCTGTGTCATATTGGCTGATACATTCTTAGTAAGAACCATTTTATACTCAGAATAATATAATTTTATCCTTTCAATGCATCATTTTGTTGTTTAAGGCTGACTACTGCCTTTTGAAGGTGATAAATTCCTGTGCCAGGCTAAATATTATTGACACCATTAGAACTACTTACACGTTCATGCTGTTCGGAGTGATTTAATAGAAGTTTCTGCTTCTGGTCTGAATTAAAATTTTAAGTCTTGAACTAGTCCTGGAAGTGGTCCCATTATCACCGCGTCTCTGAATTTTGTCAAGACTTGCTGCCGCATTAGAAAAAGGCGTTCAAAGTATGCAGAGTTTAAGGCTCTCCATTTCTATGGCCATTTCTTATTTTCCCCCAGGATGCAACATTCCGCACAACTTAATTTACTTTCCCTTACATAGAAGCAACCAACGACAGCAGCACCGCATCCAATCTCCTCCTGCCTCTGTCTCGGCCTTTGCTTATTCCCAGGGATCCACATCTGTGTGCTCGGTGGAGGTTTTCTTTAAATATCTCTTTACTGCATATTTTTAACATCAGCGGAGGAGGCCTGCAGTGTTTTAGAGTGACACTGAGCCGGAGATCTCGGAAACTGTCAGTCTTGGGACACACTGCAGCTTCTGGGATTTACTTGCATGGGTAAAATTCTCACAACTTGCACCGGGAAACTGTGACATGCTCCAGAATGTTGTTTTTTTTCTGCTCCAGCTGGCTTTCAGATGAGTTATCATGTCTTGACATGACTCTTGCATTGACACGTCGGGGCTTGACTTGGCTCTAATCAGGCTCTCAGGAATAAAATCCCTTTAATAATTTGTTTTTTTTAAAGTAAGCGGGGTTTTTTTGAATAGTACTGCTCTAACAGAAGCAGAAATTTTATTATCTCTGTTCTTAGATGTCAAAACTGGTTCTGGAGCTTTTAAACCTTATTGGTGCAGAAGTGGAAAAGCAGCTGGTGACTCACCTCCTCAGGCAATAAGGAGGAGCTACAAACTCAGGATAGAGTATAAGAACTCAGAGGGTACGCCTTTCATTTGACCTGAATAAGTGAGTGAAGGGCTTCAAGCACAGCTCCTGTCTCACAGAACAGGACAGAAACTTTTTTTAAAATCTGCTTTTCACACAGGAGAATTGAAAGCGGGAATTTGCAGCATAACAAAGGCAAAGAAAAAACTTGCTGAACTGGATTTCTCTGTGTGGTTTGCAGGGTAAGTTTCATGCTGGCAGCTGATCTCTTCAACACTTTATGGGACACTTTGTTCTTCCGTTTTTATGGAATAACTTTCTTTCTATTTCTGCTGTTTTATTCATTCCAGACACGATGGCTTCAACCACGGCAAACATCAGTAATGTACGATATCAAAGGATTGAAGACTGTGAGGCTACCAACGAGGGGCTGTATAAGTTCTACGCCGCTGTGATGATTGTGATTTTCATCTTGGCTTTGCCTCTGAACGCATCAGTCCTCCACCTCTTCATTTTCAAGCTCAAGTTCTGGAAATCCAACAGCAACAACATCTTTCTTTTCAACCTGGTTCTGGCAGATATCCTGCTGCTCTTCTGTTTGCCAATCAAAGCTCATAACTACATCATTGGACAAAGGAGGAGCAAGAATGACACGGTGTGCAAAGCGATGCTCTTCATGTTGTTTTTAAACCGTGGGGCCAGTATCGCCTTCCTAACGGTGACCTCCATCGATCGATATTTTAACGTAGTGCACCCAGGCAGAAAAAACCTCCTGAAGGTTCTCAAGAAATCTCCTCACATCTCCATCTTGATTTGGGTGTTTCTTCTGCCTCTAACCATTCCCACCATGCTGAAGACCTTTGAGTGCTGCAACAGCCACGGCCCAGATGAAGACCCAAAAGACGACACTCTGATCAAAGTAAGACCTGCCTCTCATTCACAGGCAAAAACATGCAGTAATAAACTTTAAAAAACACAGTCTATAATAATTTTACCAAGAAAATATTGGAAAACTTAACACTGGAATCTTTTGCAAATAGTTTACTTCCTCTGTGCGTTTCTTGTGAAAATATTTCAACATGCTACAGATGTTTAGGTTCTGATGACAACACCAACCTTTTTAGTGGTACCTTCTCATTTATGCAATAATTGAAATTACTTTGTTAACTAATATGGAAATGAGTCACGTTTTTGGTTGAGAATGACGGAAAAGTCTGATCGGAGTTAGAATAGAGGGTTTTTTCTTCCATAACAAAGAAATATAGATGGTTGGCATGTGTTGAAATTGGAGCAACTTCAAGGGGGCCCTGTTTGCAAAATAAACAAAGCAACCTAAACCACAATGCTTTCTTTAATTTAATGTTTCCTAGCCACAGGAACCTGTAAATGAGGAACGTGTCTGAGGAAAAAAACAACTTACTAAAGTTAGAGTGCTGAGGAATTTCATTCAATTCAGTTTATTTATATAGCACCGAATCACAACACGTCATCTGAAGGCACTAAATTAATCAGATAATACAGTAAAAGTTTTCTATCTAAGGAATTTAATGGGAAAATTATATTATTTGTTTTAATAGTTAATTTGAAACACCTTATCTATCATTCCTGCAGAAATAGTGTGAGATACCTTATCCACTCTCCATCTTCATAGCCAAAGCCATAGTGCATCTGTTTAATAAACTGATCAGTGATTTACAGTCGGTGGTGGTTTTAGACCAAATTTACCAGGGAAATGGTGGGGGGGTTATGGGCAACACAACAAAATATTAACCCCTGATCTAGCAGATGTCCTATCTTATTATGGCACAAAATAAAACACATGGATATTTAAATTATTGCAAAAGTAACAAAAGAAAGTGGTCCAATAGACGGACCAGTAATGATGTCTGTGCCCATTTATTTCTTAAGAAACTGTCTTTAGTAGAGGGGCCATAACGAGGGACAGTTCTGCAGGAGCACTGGCCCCTGTGTAGGACCACCTATGCGAATGATTACAGCCGTACCTGAATCTTAAAAAGCCTGTGAAGTTGTAATCAAATTGTTAAATGAGGAAGTTATGTCCCCTAAAAAAGGCCGTTGCACCTCGGGACTTCCTCACGGTTCTTTTCCTGGAAGCAAGTTACTTACTACTCTTAACTCAAACTGGGTAAAACCATATAAAAAAGGACTATAAAAACAGGAGTAAAAAAGTAACAGAGTTTATTCCAGATCAGGTCGTTACAGGACAGAGAAAATGCTTGGAGCTTTCACAGCTGTTGGCTCAAAAATCACGTCAGCGAGCGTCCGGCAAAGATTGAGCCCCGAACAAGGTCACCTTCTCCTTCTTATAGCTCATGAGTCTATGTGTTGCATCATGTGGATGCTTAGTGTTCCGTATCAGAAACTGACACGCCATCCATGCCCAAGGATTACAGATAGCTCTCCTCTATCAGTCCGGCTCCAAGATGTGCCCATATCCTGTGTATTTTTAAAGACATGAAGGCTGTCCTGATTAGATGACCTCCGTACACACAGTGACATCCACGATGTGAAGGAAGGCCATCTACTCTCTCTAATCCGGCTAGCAAAGTAACAATGCACATGATGTATAAAGCATAAACCTAACAAAATGAAAGAGTGCAAAGCATGGGGAGTGGTGTTCTAGTGGTTAGGGCATAGTGCTTGGAATCCTGCACTGCAAAAAATGCTTAAAATTGCTTAAAATAAGTTTTTTTTTTCTTGAATTGAGCAGGTAAGTGAGACACTTTGCCAATAGATCTAGATAATTTGTATTTAAAACAAGAAAATATCTAATTATCTTACTTTAGGAGTAAATATACTAATTCCATTGGCAAATTGTCTTATTTACCTACTGAAATTAAGGGAAAATACACTTTTTTTTACTAATTTCTTGATTGTTTTTGCAGTGTGAGGTTGTGAGTTCGAAACCCACTGTAACAGACTGATCAAGACTCTTAAACCCCTGATTGCTCCCTGGGTGCCCCACGGTGGCAGCCCACTGCTCCCCAAGGGGATGGGTTAAATGCAGAAGATGTAAATTTCAACAATGTGAGATCACTAAAGTTTAATTATTATATGTGTGGTGGTCCGTCCAGTAAGGCACAAGGACAAAGGCATATAAAAAAGTATTTTCTATTTATTTTCCAAAAAAATTATTCACAAAAGGACTTACATCAAATCTCAAAAAAATTCAACAAAATGTGCCCCAAGGAAATCAACGAAGGCATACCTAACTCAGGATAACAAACCAAAAAACTGACCTCACACAATGAACACACAGGGGAATTTATACACAAACGAGGAGGGGTGGAAGATGAGACAGAGACAAACAATGCATAAACATAAATAACTAATTCAAACTAACACCTTTTGACTACAACACAACTATCAAAATAAAACAACATAACACCAAAAATGCTTTAACAGTTATGCCATAAGTGGAGAGAGAGAAGCAGACTCCAACATCAAGTCCCCTGCTTCCAGCAGCCTGATGGTATGTCCCACTTCCTGGTTTGCCTTTCAACTCAATTCAATTCAGTTTATTTATATAGCGCCAAATTCACAACACATGTCATCTCAAGGCACTTTACAGTTCAACCAGATCATACAGTCAAATCGATACAAAGTTTTCTATCTAAGGAAAACCAGTTGATTGCATTGACTCTTCAGCAATCCCTCACACTAAGCATGCTTGTAGCGACAGTGGAGAGGAAAAACTCCCTTTAAACAGGAAGAAACCTCCAGCAGAACCAGGCTCAGTGTTAGCGGCCATCTGCCGAGGCCGACTGGGGTTCAAGGAGACAGAAGCAGAGATACAAAAAGCAGCTCTAAAAGGCGGCCCCGTCCAGGAAACACACAGCCAGGCAGACAAGCTCCAAGGCAGCTCCCATGCCAGAGGACGAAGAGAGCACATCCACTCAGTCACGGTCAGAGAAACAGGACCACACTGGAAAACAGGCCGATCTCCAACATCTATAAACAAAGATGTTGATAGAAGCAGCACAGCTGATATTTCTCTGCAGGATGACGTCACAGCCAAACAGGAACAGACGAGGCAAAGCTACTCTGAAGAAAAGCAGAGAGAGCAGAAGGTTAGAGATTGAACTAACAGATTCTGCAGAATAGGAGAACAGAGATAGAATGAAGCAGAATGATGAAATGGGGGTCCCTATGTCCTCCAAAAGTCTAAACCTATAGCAGCATAACTATAGAGATAGCTCAGGATAACAACAAGTCCTCTCCGCTCAGCCAGTCCTTCAACTCAGCAAAGAAAAGTACGGTAGTTAATTCAATTAAAATAAACAAAAGGTGTTTACTAAATGTGTGCACCCATAATAGTAAACAACCTAATGCCAAAAAACACCACAAAAGTGAAATTATAAATGTACTGTGTGAAGACCTTTAAATAAATAAATACCAACACTGAGGAAAAGATGGAGGAACCTCCACATGTTAAAATCATTCAACATCAACACAGTTGTGCTACATACCCTAACTCTACATAAGCAGTTTTCTGCTTCCTATGTTAAATCAAGCAAACTATTAAACTGCACTGTTGAGTGGTGACTTATAATCTTTATCATTATGATTATTTCAGGATTTGGTGGACAGCATGAGAGAGGTGGTTTTCTTCAGCCAGATCGTCATCCCTTTCATCATCCTGGTCTACTGCACAGTGCGAATCGTGAACCGGCTCAGGAAGAAAACCGTTGGGGATAGGACCAAGCTAAAGAGAGCGGTCTTTCTTGTGACCACCGTCATGGTGGTGTTCTCCTTCTGCTTCCTGCCTTGCACTATCGCCAGGATGGTCCTGCTGATCATCAGGGTTCAGGATGCAGACGATACTATACAGGATAAAGCAGCCGTGGCTTTTGACGGCCTAATGGTGCTTTCCTATATGGACTGTCTGCTGGATCCGCTTGTTTACTGCTTCTGTAGCACCAAGTTTAAAGCACTTTATCTCTCTAATTACTTCTCTTGCTGTGTGGAAGTGCCGCCGGAGCAGTTAAACAGCTCATCAGGAAACACAACACATCCAAAACGCAGCAACGTTATTTAAAAGAAGCAACTTTAATAACTGCTGGGTGTTTATGAACAGAATGCTGCCATGCAGCAGCTGCAGAGGGACTGTAGCTCAAACATGAACCTGAAAGACTTTAAGTTAAATCATAATATGTAAATAAAACAAAACAGATGATTATATACCTTTGTGGCTGATGTAAATCATCTAGAGGACTGATTTTGACTCAGAATCTTCAATAAGAGTTATTTTTTTATAATGTCAATACTTTTCTTAAAAGAACTGCATGTAAAATATGCACATCTGTTTTTATTTTGTTCTTGGACTGTGAGATAAGTTACACAATCCCTTCATGGAAGAGGAATCTGCTGTTCAGATCGGATCAACTTCACACACTCAGAAAAGTGCTTAAAAACATAAAATAACATAATTTTTGAAATTCTTTTCCAAGGGCCTTTTATTTTGTCAATACGTCTGGCCTTCTGGTGAGTTTGTGCTTAAATGCATCGTTAAAACCTGTATAATTGGTCGTCATTACGTCTTCATCAGGCATGTGGGACATTTTCTCTTTAAGTTTTGGGGTTAATTTGCTTCTTTTTTTTCCGTCACTCAAAGGAAGGTCTTGAAAAGGTGTTTAAACTTCCTTGAATTACATAGGAAGTATTAATCACCCTGCTAAGCCAGAGAGGTGACTTTGAAAATTCACCTGAAGAAGATGAATCACTTTAATATCATCACATGAAGTAATATGGGAAAGAAAGGATGAGTAAATTGCTCACGCTTGGTTAAAAGTAGACTGAAACTGGATAGTGTGTGTCTGTGTTTGGCTGAATTTAGAGCTGAAAACCCCTCTGAGTCACAGTTACGTGCAGTGACGTGCGGTGAGGTTCATAGCTGGTGAGGCACTGACGTCATCAGAATCAGATTTGCAAATAGATGCATAGATTGACAGCAGTTTACAGGTTATGTTTCACTTCTGCATCCTTACACATACAAACGTAGCTCATCAAAACACACCATTCCTTAAACAAACTAAAAAACAATAATAAATTGTTTATTACTGTCCTATCAAACTGTACTCAAAATGAATAGAAGTCTTAGTTAATCATACTTAGTATAAAAAAGTTTCCTTTGTGCTAATGAGATCATGCTAGAGGATAGCCTTTTGATCTCTGATCTCATGAGTTATGTTTTTATAGTCAATAACTTCTTAGAAAGAACTGCTGTATCACCTCGAATTGTTCTTGCGTGAATAATCGCATCCTTCATGAAAAACGTTTCAATCACAAATCACAGTTGGTGAAAAAGCTCTGTAATTAAACATAAATCAAATTATTTAAAATAATTTTCACCATTTTACATTTGTCAATACCTCCTTTTGATTGGCAATGCCGTTAAAACCATGTATATGGTCGTCATTACGTCCATCAGGCAGTGGTGCGCAATTCTCAAGTTTGGGGTTAATTTGCTTCTTGTTCCGTCACTGTGACTGATCTGTGTTTTCCATGTTAAAGAGTTTTGTTAGAACAACTTTCTTCAAAGGTTGAACTTTTCACCTCCGGGTGCTTACGTGAATCAAGAGGCGACAGTTTTAATCCGAAAGAGTCCAACACTGCAAAAAACATCTAGAAATAAGTGAAAAATATCTTGTATTAAGTGTATTTACCTTTTTATTTTATTTATTTGAGCAGGTAAATAAGATGACCTGCCAATGGAATTAGTATTTTTACTCCTAAAATAAGATAATTAGACAATATATGCTTGAAATAAGACAAAACAATAGTTTTGTTTCTTATTTCAAATGTAAATTATCTCGTTCCATTGGCAAAATGTCACACTTACTTCCTCAATTCAAGAAAAAATGCACTAAATTTGAGCAAAAATGACTTATTTAGATTTCCATTTTTTGCAGTGCATCTGCACACTTCACCTGGGGAGCCATAAAAGGAGTAAACATTGACAAAGAGCGCTCAGTGTTGAGAGTTTCTCCTAACAAATATGTTCCTCAGTTTACAAGCAGTTAAAATGTCAACACTATGGAGGCGTGTTTTTGTTTACTCACCATGTTTTTTTTTTATTCCACTACTTTACAGGATAAACCATGTGATTTACTGTACCTCTCAGTTTACGAGTCTAATCTTGTTTCTGATTTGTTGATTATATAATAATTGCATCTGTTAATGGTCTTTATATCTTGTTGAATAACCTTTGAAAATAATGTTATGGGCTGTTGTGAAATGTAATCCCATATCATAATGCTGCCACCGCCATGTTTAACTGTATTCTATGTATGAATGTGATCACTGTTTTTTGGACTAAACAGACCCTTTGCAGCAGGAACCTTAAAGGTCAGTGTTATTCTGTGCAATCGCAGAGATCTGTTATTAGTTGTTTTTTTTTTTTTATTAATTATTGGATCCTGGATTAATAAGCAGCAAATATATAAATTGATCACATTTCATGGGTCAGGTTTATTGGTGACTTTATTTAAATATTGAATTAAGATGTATAGTTTAGTTTCAAATATATCGACTCTTGCTGAATCCAACTCCTGTTTTCTGGGCCTTATTTATCTGTTTGTGATAAAATTTTATCTATATGTGGATATAAAAATAAAGTGTTTTTTCATGAATAACTGACAAAGATTTGGTGAGTGAGTTGGAGTGACATCTAGTGACACATTGTGAAATTTTCAAAGCACACAAAAGGGAAGTTTGAACACTGCAAAAATGATCAAGTTAAGTGTATTTAGCCCTAATTTGAGCATATTATTAAGATAATGAGTATTTTTACCCCTAAAATAAGCTAATCAGATGATATTCACTTGTAATAAGACAATGCAATTGTTTTTTCTTATTTTAAATGTAAATAGACTTGTTCCATTGGCAAAGAGTCTCATTTAACTCCTCAATTCAAGAAAAAAATAGCTTATTTTAAGAAAAAAGGACTTCTTTAGATTTCCATTTTTTGCAGTGAAGCAGTATGACCATCATAACTTTGTGTTTGGTCGACTTGGATCTGGTAAAACACCTGCTTTCTATCATGTAAAGAAAACATTTTTTTAATAAGGAAATGTTTAAAAGGGTAGAATAAACGCATGTTTTGGGGCATAAACATGAAAAAGTTTTACAAAACTCTAACTTTCTGAATGAAAGTTTTAGTTAATTTCAGGATTCAGTATTCTTTAATAAACTATTAGACTGCTGCATTTGTTATGGTAGAAATGACTTAACTCTCATAGAGTTTAAGAACATATACAGCTGTATGCTCCACCTGCTCTATTTAAGTTTTTCTTAGGTTGAAATCATTGTTTTTGGAATTTAAAAGTGTCTGTTAAGACTTTTCAGATTTTCTTAAGCTTACTGTATAAATAGACATCTTCAGTGTTGTATAGTAATGAAGTAAAAATACTTCACTACTGTACTTAAGTATATTTTTGAGTACTTTACTTTCCAAGAATATACATTTTTTTGAGAACTTTCACTTTACTTCACTACATTTACGAACTTAATTGCATACTTTTACTCTGATACATTTTCAATGTTTGGTTTAGTTACTACCGGTAAGTAAAAAAAAAAAAAAAAAAAAAACGAGCAATGCAAGTGTTTTGACCCCACCTACTGACTACAAAGTCGGGTCTTGCCTGGTCTTGTTCATTAACACCAATAGGATATAGATTGTGCATAAAATCTTGCTGAAATCTTGTGCATAAAATTATCTGTATAAATTAACTTTATTTGGCATTGTTTTTTAGTTCCACACGTGGTGCATTTAGCTTAAGCTAAATCTTGACTGTAGCAGGCTTTTGAAGATGAACAGAAGATTTTACAGTTTCAAGTGATAATGGGGTTATGTGCGAGGATGACCACAAGGGGTGGTTAAGAATTTGAGGGGAAGAAAAAAGTCAAGAGCAAAAGCATGGAGGGGATGAGGGGCCACTTGTGTTTACAAAGTGTTTAAGATTTAGTGAATTGGCCTGAAGCGCATCTGTTTTTCTCTGGTGTGATGTACACTTATTTTCAGCACTGCCTTTTTTTTTACGTTTTACGGTAGTTTTAAAAAAAATGTCTTCCTCTTCAGATGCCAAATAAGCTGCAGTTCCCTCCCATTTATTTTTCTTTTGTAAAATGACCTGTTATCTGTTTGCCTTTTGTTTGTGAAGTACAGTAATTTACAGCTTTTTTTGTTCTTCATGTTGGCTGCGTTTACAAAAGAGGCTTCAAACTGGACTCCCTCTTCAGATGCCAGATAAGCTTCTGTTTTTTCTTTTTTTTTTTGTAATGTCAATAACAGTAGCAGTAATAAAACTTGGTCTAAATTTATCCTACACTTGGTTGTGTATATTATTTTAAGTGAATTTAACCTTCAAAGTTTACCAAAATGTATAAAAAAATGTCATTCAAACTGCACTTACTTTTTACTTTTCGCTGCATTACTTGAGTACATCTATTTAAACAGTAATTCTTATACTTAAGTACAAGCCATTTCAGATACTTTAAGACTTTTACTCAAATAACATTTCAATCAGTGACTTAGACTTTTACCAAAGTCATATTTTGGAGAGTTACTTATACTTTTACTTGACTCCGAGATTTCAGTACTTTATACCTGTACAACACTGGACATCTTAATGTTTTGCGCCAAAACTCATTAACATTTAAAGCTATTCATAACTTTGCCCACCTTGACGAAATCAGCAGTTCAATCTCAGTTATGCAATAAAAGGAAATAACATTTTTTAACCTCTACTACAACAATTAAACATAAGTAACCAAGTGTTTTTGTTTAAATAAGTCTATTACATTTTATTTGAGTAGGTTTGAGAAAAATTACTCCTTTATCTTATTTCAAGTGCGTATATCTTAAGATCTCGTTTTCTATTGGCAAATCATCTTCTTTACTTGCTTAAAAGCAAAATATGGTTATTTAATGAAGAAGTTTGACTAAAAGTTTTACTTATTTAAGGTTATTTGCCCTAAATCTCTGACTTTACCCCCAAGATGCGTCTAAGGCATTGCAAAAGAGTCCAAATGGGTGAGCAGGTCTTTATTTTTTAGATTTAATTCAATTCAATTTTTAATTCAATTCAGTTTATTTATATAGCGCTAATTCACAACACATGTGATCTCAAGCCACTTTCACCATATGGGTTCATAATAATTGGGTGGAGGTGAGCTCTAAAGTAGATTGAATGCTAATAGCGAATCTAAAGATGGTTTAACATTAAGATTAAGAACGTGCATGTTTCTGCACTCACACTGGAAAAAAATCAAGATCTAGATAAGTTGTTTTTTCTTAAAATAAGTGTATTTGTTCTTGGATTTAGTAGTTAAAAGAGAGATTTTGCCAATGGAACAAGACAATTTAC